GCGAATTTTGACAGAAGATTTGGGAATGAAAAGGGTGGCTGCGAAATTTGTGCCATGACTGCTGACTGCTGAACAAAAACAAGGTCGCGTGGAAGCATGCTGTGCTTTGAAAGAAGAGTCCCGAGTCCTCGAATGAAAAGAGACATGAAAGGAAAGCGTTTTGCTGATGTTGCTGAGGTTAAGGAAAAAACGACGGAGGCGCTGTCAAGCATCTCAAAAGATGAATTTAGACAATGTTTTGAAAAATGGAATAAAAGACTAGACAAGTGTATTAGTGTAAGTGGAGAGTACTTTGAAGGGGATTGAAGGCTTGTGCTTAAAATTTGAATAAATAAGTTTAAAAGAAAATAAGTTCGGTTTCTTTTGGGTACCCCCTCGTGTATATATATATATACACACACACACACACACACACAAGAGTTGGCCAAAATAATTTAAACACTACAGATACTGCACACATTTCTTTATTAATGTGGTGCTGCACCACCTTTTGCCTTCAGTACAGCCACAGTTCTTCTTGGAATGGATTCATGTAAGTCTTGAACAGTCTCTAAAAGGTACAGGTATCCTTTTTACAGGCTGTGGAGGCCCATAAGGTTGTGAGATGTCAAGGTTCCCACATTTTGTCTAGACAATCGCTCACAGATGGCAGTGAGGTTGTCAGCCTTACATGCCGGCTGGCCAACCTTTACCACCAGGAAAATTTCTGGTACTAATTTCTGTCAGAGGCTTAGACTACCCCAGGGACATAGTATGGATGGAAGGATTAGGGCAATTGAAAAATCCAATGACCTCTGTGATGCCCCAAATTTTAGATTAGAAAGAGGATGGTATTACCCAAAAGCTAGAGACTTGTGAAAAGAGTTTCGCAGTTATTGCCGTAAATTGTAAACACCGGGACTGGCAATTAGGTTAAGAATGTGAAGACTCAGCAAGTCTCTGTGTACTCACAAGGCAAGACATTTGCCTCACTCAGCTCACTGGGGTAATCGAGAGAGACCGCATACACAGCAAGAAGACGCAAGGGGTCCGCCCCCAACCACCCATGAGAGCCAATGAGGAGGTTATTATGAGGATGGAGGACACTGAGGGGGGAGTC